AAAAAATAGTAATAGAATTGATGAGTTTAAACATAAATATAAAGGTATGTGTCAATCAAGATATATTCAAGAACAGGCTTAATGATTGATTAGATGGAACATTGTGGGTGTGGTGTATGAATGTTAACACCTTGTATTAATTCTTTAGTATGTTACTTGTGTGGTGTAGAAGATAATTATTTAAGAATGTAATTATGTAAGAATGTTAACACTCTGTTATAATTTTTTTAGTATATTACTTGTGTGGTGTAGAAGAGAATTATTTATGTAGAGATACTGCTTGCAAACCAATGATGGTAAGATGATGTCATGGGGTAGGACTGGATAAGTCTGACTTCTTCCTACTCCATTCAAGCATGTACTAGGTATAAGCAAATTGATATTGGATTATGTGTAAAATTATGTGTGTTGACATATCAACTGTCTTTACATGCTTGAAAGAATAAATCAAATCAAATCAAACACGGTCATCCAGCTCAGGCTTGTGACCTTGTTCTTTACCCACTGAAATCCCTCCAGATTCTTTGAATCCTTTAATTATGTTCTGCACCGTAGAGGGTGACATATCCAAATCTTTCCTTGAGGAACATCGTTTTTAAACATATCAATAATTTTCTAACACATAGTCAAACTGGTGGTCCTCGGCCCATCTTTGCTCAAAGGACTCGGCCTTTCCTGATGCCCCTTTTCTACCAAATCATGATGCAGTGACCTGTTGACATCACCTGTTTCAAATGGAATCATCATTTCATTGTTTTACCTCATTACCAGCCCTGAAATGCAACGTCCCAACTTTTTTGGAATGTGTTGCAGCATCAGAATTGAAGTGAGTGTTTATTTTGAACATAGAATAAAATGCACTGCTGTGTTGTTTTCAAGATAATACAGGACACAGATGATTTACACATCATTTTCAGTTTTAAGTTTGATTTCACATACATCCCAACTTTTTCTGATTTGGGGTTGTATTTTGTGCGTTACAAAAAAAAAAAGGCTTTGTTAAGTCTGAACTATGACTGTCTTCATTAGCTGAACTCTTCCAGATCTGTGAGATATCTCTGAGGTAATCATTGAAGTATGACTCATTAGACAGCAATAAATACCAACATGAATACAAACATTACAAAAGTAAAAACAGAGGCAAATGCTTAATGTTAAAGCAAAATCTGAGCTAAAAGAGGTAGGTTTTTTTTTAGGTAGAGTATGGTGTACATCCATTGTGGACACTCCTTTCTTTAAGAACTACATAAAGTTGATTCCATTATGATCCCTGTCCTAATGAGAGGAGGAAAATAAAATAAGTTGAGCCAATGCATGGAAGATGGCCTACTACAGTATGAATGATGTCATGCCTGTTGTACAGACAGGACTTGGCAACAGTTATACAGAAAAACATGATCCACTGTAAAGCTCGCTGGTGATAGTGTACCATGAGTATATTGCAGGCATTGTTACTGTGTTATGTGGCCTATACTGAGGAACTCTCAGCACAGATGGATCCATGTAATATGTGGTATAGATTTCCACTGACTTATGGTTTTCAAGTTCCAGTACATTAACAGCCACAATACAAGTTAAAACCTAGTGATTCAGAGCAGCCTACCACAGTAAAACCAAACAGGAAATGCTGGGAACGCATATTTAATTTAGCAGTATATTACAAGGGTGAATTAAACATTATTTAATCAAATATTCAATCACAAAAGGAAAATGAGGTTCAGTCAGAATTTCTATGTGCTACTGACCACATGGTTAGTGGCTATATGATGCATCCTCAAGACTTTTTCCTGTTTGGTTTTCAAATCCCCAAGAGAAGGGTAAAAGAACAGAGTAAAAGAAGAGAGTAAAAGAACAGGGTAAAAGAGGTCCCTCTTTTACCCTGTTCTCATGTGGAGGGAACTCTCCCCGTGGCACTTAACATGTTCACCTAACCTCCCGCTGTATTAAACATGCACAATTCAACACTGCATCTCCATCTCAGAAAACAGAATAAAATCAAACCAATTATCTACATATAGACATGTGTTTTCAGAAACAAAATCCACATGGAGACTTTTCCAAACTTCAAAAATCAGTAACCAAGCACATCACACCCCTCATCAAACGGGCATACTATACATATTACTGCCTACAGATACTCGAGCAGGGGAACTTGTGGGCCACATGGAATTTTACACATACACATATGCACGAGTGACAAATTAAAGGAAAAACCAGAATAAAGAGTAGAGAAACATAAATGCCAAGGTCACTGCAAATCAATATAAACTTGTTTTGAGTGATCACATTTATTCTATGATGAAACCTTTCTATTCTGATGGGGGTGTTCACTTCCAGGATGACAGTGCCCTGCCCCCCCCCCATCCACAAGGCACGAGGGGTCACTGAATGGTTTGATGAGTATGAAAATGATATGAATTATATGCTTCAGTCACCAGATCAACCCAGCCAGCATGTTAGATGGGGCCCTCTACCACCACCATCAAAACACCAAATGGGAGAAGGTCTTTAGGAAGAATGGTGTTCATTTCTCCAGTAGGGTCAGTGCCAAAGTGCACTGAAGCCGTTCCGGCAACACACTAAGATAGTTTTTGTTGGTTGTTTCCCTTCATTTGTCACCCGCCTGTATATGCAGACTGTCACAGTGACTGATAGCGAAGAGTTGGACTAAAGCCACAGTGATGGAGGTGTGATAAAATCCATGTGGGCTTAACACAATAAAGCAACAACAACTATCAACTATCTCTCTCACAAAGCAGATGTTAGAACACATCGCACTCAACAGCAAACAAACGCTCTCTCTTTCACCATTTTCCTCTAAGATCATATAGTAATACTGGTTTGCTGAGATGCAGGATGCTCTAGGTCTGATGTCTGATGCCAACACAGGAACTGTGTCGACAGATTTATTCAGTCACACAGCGAACAGCAGTCAAAAAGAAAGTTTTAGACTGTGTCACTTCTGCAAATGCTCTCCTTTAAGACAAGCTGGTTTAGTGAAACCTCCTGCACTTGGCAGGAGTTACACTTAACAATTCCTTGGGGAATTGTCTTGAAATAACAGATGTATCATCTCATATAATTTTACCACAATCCCACATGCAGCAAGCCATACATTACTGGCCTCTAACATAAAGCATTTAAATTCTCTTGGCGGTTTGGTTCATAAGCCATTAGATGCTGTCTGATGAAGCATAAGCCAAAGATGACTGACAGCAGAGACACAGCATATATGTTCTTATCATATACAAGCTTATCCTCCAAAAGCCATAGATAGATAGCATATGAGTTTAGTACATTATATAATGAGGATACCCAAGGTTCTGGCTTCTGATGTACTATAATGTATCAAGTGTACAACTAGCTTGGTGATCTATATGGCTTATATAAGAGAGCAGCAGAGTATGTTTAGCTTGTCATCCTTTTGAAAATAAAACCACAAAAATTAGTAAAATACATCAACCCACCACTACAAAAATAATAATCTGACCGAGTCAAATACACAAGCAATTCCTGTTGAGCTATTCCTAACTCATTCTCACCATAACACACGATCAGTCAAAACACAGACCATAGCTTCTCAGAACATAATAATGATGAATCAAAAAATGTGTACAGCAGTTTTATATACCTGGTATTTACATGATGCAGCCACTAGAGGGCTGCTGCGCAGCACATCGTCAAACAGGAGGGATGGGTGTAGAGGTGAGCACCACCTCTTCAACCTGGCCCTCAGACATTCTAGAGAATCCACTTCCCAGTCAGAAATGAAAGGGGTGTGATATCTGTGGAGGTGTAAAGCAGCTTCCCAAGCTCTCTGCCCACTGAGCTCACTGTACACTGAGGAGGAACAATTCATGGAATTGCTTTTAAAGTGAAATGATGCAGAAAACACAAAAGCATTCATTGCAGTTACATCTATATCTATGCCAATTCCAAGAATGCTGTGCAGCTATATATTAACAAGAAAGGCTCCTAGCTTTGGCCTCAATTTTCTATTCCAGTTAGATTTGGCATTTTAGCCCTTTAAAATCGGTTATAATATAGATATTGTAAATCAATACATAGGCTTACATAGTAGCTTACATAGTAAAAGGTAGTATAACAGTGCTTCGGATAAATGTGGTAGCAATTAACCATTTACAGCGAAATAAACAAACAAAAGAAGAAAGATGACACAATTTCAGAAAAGAAGCCATAATGCAGGCTTTTCATGATTGACACAGTTAGTGGCTAATTCTCACCTCAAAACAAATCAAAACCTCATTACAATACAGAATCATCTCTGTACTCTTCAGTATAAACCTAAGAAATGACATTTTCCTTCACAGGCTGTGAGGCTAGTGAGGCAATATGTGTGAAACCCATGGAGCAGCAAGATTTTTTTTTTTAGGAAGCTTTTTGATAAAGTTGTTGGCCACACCTTTGGTGAAAGGCATGCGTTTGGAATTATATACATAACCATATACATACGTTGCCTTGAAGACAGAACAAGATGCAAAACAAAATACAGAATTTCTGAAACAAATCCAAACATTAAAAAAACCTTAAGTCATGTGCAGGCACTACTTTTGCATTGATAAACTAAAATGTTGTCCACACTGAATCTAAACTGTTCTGTGTAAAAGTTACCGTTTCACATGTGATGATAACAGAAATAAACCCCAGAGGTAGCTCAACTGAATGGCTAAAAGAATAACTGAGTATGTTTGTTGTGTGCACGATGTGCACACATAAGATGTCCTGGTATTTGAAGCAGCTGTATGTTGATTTAAATACAAACAAAACATTATATGGACAGGCTGTCTGCTGTGAAGATCCCTTGTTTACTGCATCTCATAACATCTGCTTGCTCTCATCTGGCCTTTACACCAAGACAGACTTCTACTGACATGAAACCACAAACTCAACACATGCGCGCGTGCACACACACACACACACACACACACACACACACACACCCACACCACTTTCTCTCCTCCATGCGTCTCATACTTTACACCTTCATCTAGTCCATCCAGCATTTCTTCCGGTTCGTCCCTCCATTTTTACCCCCAGGGGTCTTGTCTCCTGCCTCCTGCCCCTCTGCTGAAGTTCGCCCTCTAGGAGACTTCGCTGCCGAACACCTCCAACACCAGCGGGGTGAGCTGCATGCTGTGCTCCGGCTGGAAGGAGAGCGAGCGGTACTGTTTGGAGTGCTCCTCGTTGAGGCTGCGCAGGTCGGCCAGCTTCTGGATCATCTTGGCGTACAGCAGCTGTCCTCCTGGGTGGTGAAGCTGAATGTAGGCCTGCAGGGTTTCTGACAGCTGGTCTTGGAGGGCTTCAATCCGTGTGTGATCCTGCACTCCTGGGCGGTCTGCAGCAGAGGAATGGACAGTCTTGAGATATTATACATGACTGAAAAACTGAGAATTACAATGTTTGTGCTTGGATTCATTATAGAAAAATCATAAGAAGTCTAACTGCAAGTTACATAAAACTACTTGATCTTTGTGCTTGTATTCCTACCACTCTGGTCAGGTGGCTTGTTAATTTTAGATCTATGCATTGTTGATGAGGTGCCTCGCAAGCACAAAGGGATGAAATATCCATTAGTTACACATGCTTGCATAACGAAATATGTATAACATACTGTATGCACTTTGTCTTCTGCAAATGACCTGACCTGCTTCAGGGGGATTTATATTGAGTGACAGTTAAGAATGATGTTTTGAATATTTTCTAATCTTAATGAACATATTCTTAATTGGAAAAAAGAGGCAAACAAGACCACTCATGAACAATTCATGATGAGTGTTCCCTGGTCCACATGGACAGACCGACAGTACCTGGAGAAAGCAAGCAGATGGCCATCAGCAGCACATGTTCCTCCTCTTGCAGGTTGAGTTTCTTCAGGCCCACCTGGAATTTCACCAGTGGCTCCAGCAGCTCCAGAGTGTGTCCAGCTAGGTAAGACACAAAATGGATTCAGTTTAATTTTTCCCTCATCAATCTACACACAGTAGATAAAGTGAAAATATGTTTCTGGACTGTTTTGTAAATTTATTAAAATAAAAAAACAAATAAATCATTTACATAGTAGTTTTCATAAGTATTCAGACCCTTTGTTATGACATTTGCAGGTGAGCTCTGGTTCATCCTACTCCCATCAGTAGTCATTAAGATGCTTCTACAGCCTTATTAGAGTCCACCTGTGTGTAATGTAATGTGCTGGATATAATTAGGAAAGACACACACTGGTCTATATAAGGTGTCACAGCTGATGGTGTATGTCAGAGTCAGAACAAAGACATGAGGTGGAGAGAACTGTCCATAGACCTGTGAGACAGGATTGTGGCAAGACACAGATCTGAGAAAGGATACAAAAACATCTCTGTAGCATTGAAAGTGCCCAAGAGCGCAGTAACCTCCATCATTCTCAAATGGAAGAGATCTGGAACCAGCAACAGTCCTCACAGATTTGGCCACCCAGCCAGACTGAGTAATCAGGGACAAAGGGCCTTGGTCAGACTGGTGACCAAGAACCTAAGAGTCACTATGAATGAAATCCATAGTTCCTTTCTGGAGATGGGAGAACCTTACAGAAGGACAACCATCAGACCTCTATGGTAGAGTGGCCAGATGGAGGCCAATCCTCACTACAAGGCACACAACAGCCCAATGGGAGTTTTCCAAAAGGCACCTGAAGAACTCTCAGATCATGAGAAGCAAAATCCTCTGGTCTGATGGAACAAGGACTGAACTGTTTGGCCACAATCCCCAACAGTGTGTGTGGAGAAAACCAGGCACTGGGCAACACCTCATTAATACCATCCCTACAGTCAAAACCGGTGGCAGCATCATGCTGTGGGGAGGTTTTTCTGCATCTGGGACTGGGAGACTAGTTGGGATAGTGGGAGGATGGATGTGGAACAATACAGAGCAATTCTGAATGAAAACCTTCTCCAGAGTGCTCAGGATCTCAGGCTGGGGTGAAGGTTTACATTTCAACAAAACAATGACCCAAAGTATAATTCCAAGAAAACACAGGAGCAGCTTAAGGAAACTCTATGAAAGTCCTGGAGTGGCCCAGCCAGAGTCCGGACCCAAGCCTGATAGAGCATCTCTGGAGGGACCTGAAAATGGCTCAGCAATAACGCTCCCCATCCAACCTAGCTGACCTTGAACAATTCTGCCAAGAAGAAACAAAGAAAATTCCAAAAGAAAAGTGCCAAGCTTGTAGCTTCATTCTCAAGAAGACCTGATGCTGTCAGTGCTGTCAAAGGTGCTTTAACCACATCCTAAGTCAAGGGTCTGACTACTTGCGTAAATGGACTCTTTTGTTCTGAATAAATTTTCAAAACACTTAAAAACCTGTTTTCACTTTATCTTTGAGGAGTATTGTGTGTACATTAATAAGAACAAAAGAATAACTGAAACAATTTTAAGCTGAGTATGAAACATAACAAAATGTGGAAAACTTGAAAGGCTCTGAAAACTTTGCATACAGACTCTAACATCACTATCTGTGCTGCACATACAATGAGAGCCACAGTATTTCACACAGCAGAGCCTCTGGGAACATTACCATCCTGCTTACTCATTAATATTTCATTTTGCCAATCTGAATCTCAAAACTACAACTATTACATTTTGACTGAGAACAAATTTGAATTCTGATCAGTGTATGTGTGTAGATGGATAAATGAGAAAGCAGGTAATTAGTGACTAATGTTTTACTGATTAACACGAGCGTGTCTCCAGTCTCTCACGTCATGATTGGGGCTCTGACTTGCTGAGCACTGACCAAACTGTGCCCAAATCATAAAATAGGTTTGCAGCAAATGCTCTGCCAGATTAATAAAGTTTTTTAATTAATTAATGAATTTGAATTGAGTAATTATTTACTTTTATATTATTTGGACAACGGTGATCTATAGTTGTTTGAATTGAGACAATATTAAACTGTGCTGCATTTTAAAGATTAGGTTTAAAGAAGTTGGGTTTAAAAGACTTTTAGAAGGAACTTTTAGAAGGAAATCTTACTAATGATCTGCCACTATGGCAAAATGGATAGATCTTTTTAAATGCATCTTTTACTAAAACTTGCACACTATTGATTATCGCATAAGAAGCCACATCTGTATTCTAGTCATATTTGTGGCGACTATTCAGTGATATTTTAAAAAGATCCCCAGAGCTGGGCTCCCAGGTTCACACAGTGGTTGTTCTGTGCGGTGAGCAGGTCAGGAGTGACATTCTTTAGCTGATCCCAGAGAGAGGGGGTTTTGTTTGAAAGGCAAATGGAAGCCTTGCCCACACAGTCTTCTGTGCATATGTACAGTAAGACTAGTTTTGCTGAGAAATTAGCATTAGCATCCTTTGCTTATGGGTGCATACAGAGTAACCTTATCTGTGCTCCTGGTCACCTCCTTAAGGCTGGGGGACTTCCTTTGAGCTCTGAACAAGAAGTGCTCATGTGTAAGCATCTTTTCTTCGACTATTAGCTGTGCAAAATGAGCTGGCTAGCATGCATAACATAGTCCTAAACACTAGTGTGTCTTCACAACAGCCAAACTGTAGACATGGCAGCACTGAGACTGACCTTTGGTGACATCACTGATCTGGTACTTAAAGTCAGGTGAGCCACAGGTCCAGGACATGTCTTCCAGGCTGAAGCTCTGATTTGAGCGCAGCATAATCACCTCAATGGCACTGGACTTGAGCAGGGCAATCTGGTCTTCTGCAGTGAGCTCTCTGCAGGGAAAGAAACCAGTAATAAATTATTTTAAAAATTAGTCCTCAAATAACCTTCATAATTTAGTGTTGCTCATGTCAAACATCACAGGAAACTTATGCAGCAACAGGTAAACACATTCAAATCAAGTGCCTGTGTACGGCATACTATAGGTTTAGGCTTGGAAAATAACAGTTCATCAGTTGTATTAGCCGTTTAAAAGGATTGCGCTTATCAGTGTTTTAACTGGCTACAGGTTCAAGGTCAGCCATAGCCTTTTTCATATGTATCTTGTGCAGGAAGAAAAAGAAAAACATCCAAATGATTCATTCTGTTTGCTTCCTCTTGCTGTGGTGGGTCACTGTATATGAAAAATGCATTTAATAAATATTAGTTAAACTGATGCTGTTTTAATTTTTACCACTGCTACGGTTCAAATTCAGCATGTAGTAATGTTATGAATTATCTGTAGATGTGTAAAGTAAAACTACTGAACTAATAGGAGACATGAGCTGAAACCTGCAGATCTTCTGGGGCGGTCTGGGGGAGTCTTTTAGGTCTTAGGGATAAGGTCAGAGGTGGAAAACATAACATTCCAGCAGTAATCCTACCACGTATATAACTTGCTGCCAGTGGGAATGACAGGAAATATAGGACCCATCTTGTTTTAGCCTTGACTTTGGGGTCACCCCCGAGACACAAAGGATTTGTTCCTGTCAATATGCTGAGAAACAAATATGCTGGAAGGCAGTAGCTGCCATCTGTGAGAAAGGACAGTAACAATGGAAACGCCTTGGGCAGCCATTGTAATTTTGCCTTTACAGCTCACATATAGGGCGCTGGCTTGTGTCTTTCACTGGTGCATTCTATTTGATTTACTCTGTTCTATTTTCAAGGTCTTTCCTGTAATGTGTCTATCATTTGCTCTAAAAAATGTGTGATCATCCAATAAACAACTTGAGAGTGTACCTGCAAGGCAAACACATGACTTCTCAACACCAAAGGAATGTTTTCCTTAAGGTTGGGCAATTAGGTTAGTCACCTGGTAACATACTGTACTTACAGGGCTAAACCTCACCCTAACAACATGATCATAAATAATGTATAACTCTGCCGGGTGAAGGAGCAACACAGCATAAAAGATGTTGCTGTAATATACAGGGTTATTCAAAAAGAATGAAACGAATTCATTACGCAATATTTTATTAAGGAAGGATTATTTTCAATGTGGCCACAACAACAGCGATCAACTCAGTGGATTGTGATATGATAATACGCGCGTGGGAGGAATTCTCATCGCATTGATGTTGCCCGTGCTGCAGGTGGTGGCCACATTGAACACTTGTAAGACAGGAAATAAAAGTTGATTGTGAGTAGAATACTTGTGACTTGGCTGGAGTTTTGTATTACTTTTCCTTAATAAAATATAATGAAATCGCTTCATTCTTTTTGAATAACCCTGTACTGCACTTTGTATCCCTAATCTATGGCCTTTAGACCACAGCCATCACAGTGGCACAATCGGCTAATACGGCAGAAAAACAAGCAGGTGTACAAAGTCTTCAGCACCCATTTAGGTAAAAAGTCACTAAGAGACATGCAAATAGAAAAGTTATGAAAGTTCTGTTAGAACAGCAAAAACGTTACTGTGTCAAACTACTACATTTGGTTACATAAGCAGGACTATCCTGAATGCCAACAAAAAAAATCTGATAAAAAGAATGTTCCTCCAAATACTGATATAGAGAGGAGCATATGTGCACTCTCCTCTGTCTCAGTGTTACGTCAGATACTGTAGGTGTAACAATAGATTGCTAAATGAAAGGTCAAAGCCAACAGCAGCTCAATATGCAAATCAGCCCAGCCCAAAAAGACAACAGGCACTGTTACACTATTGCGTAGTCGTGGTTTCTGCTAACCAACATGTTTTTCTTGCCATCTTGAATTGGTAATTGTGAATTCAGTAACAGTGGTTTTGCCAGCCTACATTCCTAGAGGTTTTTTTTTCTCAATGACATCAAATAGAGTGACAGACTGAAAACTCAGACAGAGAGAAAGATGTTCTTAACAAGCACACACACAAACCTGAAACCAGGGATCATCTTGGCAAAACCTATGACCTTCTGGATGCTATAGGAGACCAGATCAGCCAGGTGAGGAAGCATGGAGAGGCTGGAATTATCTTCCTCACTGGAGTCAGGGCTGCTGCCCTGCCCCTGGTACATCATCAGCAGGTTGCTGAAGTTCATTTTGGTGTCTACTGACTCTGCAGTGAGCAAGGATAAAAAGAGCAGAGCACATAGAGGAGAAAAGAAGACACCAAAGAACAATGCATTGTCACAAAGAACAACAGCATCACACTATTCCCCTATGAACATGCACACACTGCGCTGAGAAAACAGATTTCAGGGAACAGAGAGGGCTTTTTTGACTGAAATGATCATCTGGTCATGTCAACAGAAGTGAAATAAAAGCTTAGATGACAGCTCTGACAACATGTGAAGCATGCAGAGCTAGCTGGTGTTGTTTTGAGTCATTTGTGCCTGCTGAGTGTTGGTGGTAGGCCTTGTGAGTGTGTTCCTCGCTGTGCTCACTCCATTAGTTATGGATGCATTAATGAACTGATGTTTCCCAGTAGGAGTCAGGTGTCTACAGGGTACAGGTTATTCAGAGGATTCCCACCAAATTCTCAGTAAAGCACAGTAACAGATTACATTAACCAACATGCAAACAAACCACTGACCTGGACAGAACAGCCGTCGTAAGTCAAGCATTAAATCTTTACATTCTGCAACTTATCTCAAAACACGTCTGTCAATGTGTGAGAAAGCATCACTTACTATTGTAAGATATATTATTCTAATTTAATAACTTACAGTTTTAACTAGACAGCACTCAGAGAGTGCAAACCTCCACCAAGGCAGCTCCCTGTCCCCCATAATGTCATCACACAGTAAAGCAAGATTCCCATGACAGTTTGACCCTCATAATAGGATTCCTTGAAAACCTACCCCTAGCATTTGGAATCACATTTATATCATTATTAGCTTTTTCAAGAAAAATGATTTTCTTCAGGATCTAGCTCAGTAAATTTTAAAGATACGTCAAATCTGGTGACACCATACTGAGTCCGCAGAGTTTCAGCTAGAATTTAATCTCGGTTGCAGTTCTGTAGCATTATATGTTGTATCACAGTAACAGGTTTTCTGTGAGCCCTGTAAATGTGCACATTTGGGATAAGCAGATATGGAATATTACTTGAATCCAGATCACACTTGGGAGTGTTGTAAGTCTTATGTGGAAGTGATCTTGCATTCTCAGTCTTTTGTCTAAGCATTCTAGGCATTATGTTTGGAGTTATAAGCACTGAAATCTCACCATGGTGAAGAATCCCTTAAAAATTCCTGGATCCAGATAATGATGATGCAGATCAGCACCAAAATCTAATGGACTGTTCAATGGGCCATACCCTACCTCTCTGAAATGTGTTTCTTCTTATTTGTCTTTCTTTCAATGCAAGATTTGTTTCTAGATGATTCCTACAAAAGGATAGATGTTCTGGAAAAAACTACTTTAGTTACTATTACTGAGAAGCCAGTGTTTTCAATGAATTTTATTCTTCCCGCTGTGTCTCTTACCTGGTGAGTGACTGAAGGAGTTGGAGGAGGCGTCAGACAGAGAGCGGAGGGAGGCTGATCTGCGAGAGGCGCTACGTGTCACTGGGCCCTCACGCACAGGAGGCTAGACAAGAGAAAAGGGTAGAAATAAAGACCCCAAAAGATTCTGAAATAGGTCCAGTCACCAAAAAAACAAATGAAAAAACACAACATGAGAAGCCATAGAATAGAAATTATTGATTGATAATTTTAGAATTTACATCCATGCAGAAAATTGTCCTCGTTAGCAAAATGCAGGCCAATTTGCTTTTATTACTCTGATGCTCATTTAAAAACCCAACATTTCTGGATATGGCCATCTGTGTAATTTGTGGGGATGGAAATCTTTAGGTGCGTTTCCACCAGAAAGTTCCCATTATTTTTTATTCCCAGGTCTCCAGTGCATTGTGAGTTGCATTTCCATAGCAGGGCCAAAGCTCAGGGAAGATTAAACAAATTAGCCTGCTGGTATTAAAGCACGACAGTCGGCAGTGGGGTTGTAAGATTGCTGTAAAGTGCTGGCTATGGTTACCACATCCCATTGGTGGAGGACAGGCTGCAAGTCACTTTATGCAAATTTGTGTTTGTTTAACAGGTGTATTTTCTTTTTCTCAGTGAGATTTTATTGCACATACAGTAACGAGCATAGGCACTGTTATCTCAGTAATGTTTCACAGCCGATGTCATGCTCTCCTCCGCGGCCTCTGCCTGCTGCGCTCCATGTGTGGAGGAGCTGAGCTCCACCCTCAGGTCAAACACCAGGAGAAGCCGCTCCACAAACAACAAAACCATGTTGTCCAATCCACTAATCCCACTCGCTGGTCTCTTTGTGTAGGCCTACTGATAAAATGCTCCTTACAAAGTGAGAACCCAAGGAATTGGGAGTCAGTTGCATCAGTGCACCCAAATCATTGTTCACATTGGCACACTGATTTTTACTCACAAATGTGAGTGAGGTGCTTGCATTGTGGAGCTGTGTATTTGACCAATTGGCAATGTTCAGCACTATGGGCCTCACCCTGACAGTTCTTGGATCTTCAGAAAGTATTACCCACTGACTAGGTCCTTTTTTTGTGGGTGAAGAACGATGCCCCAGAACTAAACTTAAGAGTTTGGCTCCTCTGGTGGAAACACAGGTAGAGGAACTTAGTTCTGAAAAAGGCTCCTGTTCCCTGGGTTCCTCTGGTGGAAACTGGGGAGGGGGTTTACAAAATGGACAACAGCACTACAGGTTAGATGTTTAAAATAGCAGAGATGTCTGAGGCTAACTCGACACAGCAGTTAACACAACGCTGAAATGCTGTGCATCAAAGAGTAACAAAGATCCTTATACAAGTCTGAAAGTAAATACTGTGAATGCTTCTATTTTATGGGACTAAAGAAGTAACAAACTGCAAAGCTAAAGCAACAGTTTTGTTAATATTTGTCTAATGAAGCGGCGAGGTGGAGCTGTTCTCCCTTTTTTAGGAGAACAGCACAAGATTTATTTTAATGTTATTTAAAATCCAATAAGTTTTGTGTAATTTGAAATAAATCTGACAGCATTATGCTAATCTGATGACAAGCATAGGACACAGACCCTGAAGTGGTGAAAGTCAGAATAAGAGTCGTCATATGTTTTGTGGTGCGCCTCCACCAGCGTGGCGATGACTTGACTCTGCTCCTCAGTGAGCCGGGGCCGCCGTGCCTCTCTCTCCGCTTCGCGCTGTGCCTCCTCCTCCTTCCTGCGCTGAATCAGGTCCTTCTTCCTCTGCACTTCCTCATCTGTCAGAATGACTGGAGGGGCGATAATAGAAAGACAAAGAGGCAGCGAGAGTGTTAGAATTATCACACACAGGAAAAATAAACTTTCAGAATATATGAATTTTTAAAAAAAAGCCTGAACTGAAAAGAGTTTTTGTGTAAGAATGACATTAATAACATAGAGCAGAGGGAACCTGAGGTACAAACAGGGGACTTGATAGAAAACAAAAACAGCCAGAATGCCAGAATTCAGGTATATCATTAAATTTGGTTGCCTTCAGTGTTTTACTTTGTGATGACAGTTATGTCAATGTGATGTTCAGTGGGGGAGGGGTTATTCTCTGGAGAAAGAGAATGGGAGGGGACAGTGCCAAATGGAGACCCCTGCTCCACTGAACAAGTGAACGCATTGTCTTTCTACTGTTTTCTCCTTGTTGTTCTAGCAATTGAATTGGCTCATAGAGTCAGAGAGAGAGAGGAAGGGAGCAAGAGAGAGAGAGAGAAACCTGGGTCTCAACAACATACTGCTGTTTTTACAACAGCGATGCCACCAGCTCCTGTTCACATACAGTAGGGCACAGCGTCGATGCCGCCACTCATGGTATCCCCAGAAGCATTTGGGGTTGGGAGTGGGGGTGGGGGGTGGGAACATTCAGCTGGAAGTGAGAGGCCTTTGCTTAAAAGAGGCCTGTGGACAATATCCGGATATCAGGAAAAAACAAGAAAAGATGTACCTGCTATTTACAGAGCACACAAATAAACAAGACTGTGTGGAAAGAAGAGGTCTTTCTGAATTGTACATAACAGCAGGTGTTTTAACTTCAGATGGAGTGTACTTACTATATACAATGTGGGGAGGTTCCACAACTCAAACAGAACATGTAAACACTAATGGGGGCAAAGACACAGAGATACTTGATCTCAATCCAAATTAAAAAAAAAAAAATGAAGAGGCACATTAGGTCCCAAAATCTGCAAACAAACATGTTCTACTATCAAACCATTGAAAAAGAAACAAGGGTTCAATTTAAAAAAGCTGATTTAATGTAATTTAACTATATCAGACAATATTAATGTGTAAATTGTCCTAGTGGGAAGGTGGTCCAGGATTAGTCCAGGACATAATGTTGATTCATAGTCAGTACTTTCAGGCCCAATTCTACAATCCAAGGGGCCAAAATAACATAAAAAACCTAAATAAGTCCACTATTTAAATATACTATGCAGTAAATGACTTGGTGTTGGGTTACAGTACAGTACAGTATGGGTAACAGTACTGCCCTGAAGACATATGGGTCACCTGCCATACTTAAACTCTTTACTCATGCCAATGTCCACTTTCATCATGCCAATGTCCACACAGCGTTTGAGCCGACATGCCTGGCAGTGGCGCCTGTTGTCCTTGGTGATGGTGCAACTGCCGTTAAAGGGACAAGTGAAGGTGGCCTTGCGTTTCATACTGCGTCTAAATAAAGTGCATACATTTTACAGTCTGTTAAGATACACAGATGTATCAGTGTATAAACACACAAAAGTAAAATTCTGAGAATTTCCTGAAGTCATTAAGAATAAAGTTACTGCTCTAGATGTGTGCCTACACATGTAGTTCTTTTGAGAGAGATCTGTGCATACAATTTGAATTTAATAAATATAGCAATGTGGCACCCTTGGCAGTGTGTTGCACAAATTATAGTTATAATGGAAAAGGATAAATATTTTTGCCCTTCAGGTTTGGGATAGAGTGGAGCAACATAAATATGGATCAGGGCCAAGGACTCCAGGTGTAAAAGTGGAGTCTTACCAAATGTTGACGCAAAGTATAATGATTGAGTCAGTGATGAACATACATGTATGAACATTTATACACAAATGTGAGCAAAAACACACACTTGGTGGGAGTTCAAATAAGGGCCAGCTGAGGGAGAAAGACGGAGATTATGAAACATCTGTAATTTTCATCCTCTCCGCTCAAATATCAACACTGCCGAGAGGGACAGACGCAAACAGACGGACACATCAAACAGTCACAGACACACAAAACCACCACTTGTCTTTGGTTAAATTGGAAACTCATGAGTATATCAATGAGCAATCAGAAGCCAAGGCAGTAACCATAGGGCCAGGCTCATTTGTATTCTCTACCTGCTGCTGAGCATTAGTGTGAGCATGAACCTTGCCAGTGGGTGTTTGTGTGCACTTACGCAAACCATGGGTGGCAGTTACATTTTATGTGTGAGTGAGTGGGTGGTCATTATATATGCAAGTTCAGACCTGTGTTTGTATGCTAATGTGTCCCTACATGTATGTCAATACCTTAGTCAATCTGCATCTTTTTGTTATCACCAGGATAATATGAGCTACTGTGCTGGCTACACAAATCCTACTTAGCATGTGAGCATATCTGTGTGCATTAGACATGCTAATTTATACCTGCTTTACAGTGTATCTGTGACCTCACATATGCTTGTGTATACCTGAAAAAACCCTTGCAGCCCTCACAGGTCATGGCGTTGAAGTGGAAGCCGGTGGCTCTGTCACCACACACGCCGCAGATTCGGGGCACATTCCTATCAAACTCATCAGGGGGAGTGGATGTACTCACAACTGTGGGGTCCATCACTGAACAGACAAAGGGGAATGAACAGAGAAAAAGGAGAAAAAGCCAGGTTACAGGCATTGTTTACTTACCCCATAACTCTGCCACTGAACAGTACACACACACACGCACACAAACAACCTGAAAAGGGTTGCCAACTTCTGACACCTGAAGGAAATGTAAGAATATTTTCTCTAGTTATAATCTGTTCAGTGATGTACTTCATAAGATATCTGAGAGTACATATAATAAAGTCAGTTTTCCATAATGAGATTTTGGTTATATTTCAACTACTGTCTATTTTTAAATCTTATACTGAGTGTGACACATCTCTTTCCACCTGTCACCATGCCAACCAAACACTGCTCCTTCCTTCAGGTCAGCGTCAACCAGTCCCAGTCCCTTTAGGAGGGGATCTCAAATCCAGTGTTTCAATACTGGTGTGAGGAACTGGAGCCACATGAATAAAGTGCAAAACCCTTGTTCCACTCCAAAATGCTGGATCTGGTTACATTTGATTACATAGTGCCCCAACTATCAATTTCACTCAACAGCCTTGGGAGAGGAAGAAAAAAAGCATGTCACGGCAAGAATAGCATCCTCATGAACAAACAATCACTGTCCCTTTCACAAAGCTCCACTCTTATTCTTTTGTTTGCGTCCACTGCAGAGTGAAAGCAAAGCAAATGACGGAAGGAAATGGAGGGTTAAGGATAGGGAGGTGATGGTAACTAAGCCTCAACAAACCTTAATAAACTCATAAATCAACAGCCAATGAGGTGTGGGCCCTGGTGAATAATTTATATTTTGACAGAGCTATCTGCTGCTCACTTTTTAATTAAAAACCACTGTTCTAGCTATACAACTGGCTTCTTTGTTGTTTGTTTTTCTAGTTAGTACAACTGTGACTATTATGACCAGTAGGCCTTCAAACCAAATTCTGTTCCTGGCCAGTACTATTAACAGTACTTCTAGTGCTTAGAAAAAAACAAAGGGTCAAAAGAAGAAAGTAAACAGAGGATCTAGTCACTGCCTTAGTGCAGCAGGCATCACAGAGAGCAGTGGCAAGAGCATCTACAGTATGTTGACGTCTTGTATCACAGCACCACATGCTTCAACCAGGAGGAGTGGTCATGACCCCTGTGGACCGCAAAACAGGTAGTGTGCATATGAATAGAAGCAGAAGCCACATGCAGAAACTTCTTGTGAAGGGAATTCACCAGCCGGGTCAAACTGAACTCTGATCAACAAGCAGACCACAAAGAGACTCGGCGGCTGATGGGGAAACACTACTGGCTACATCACTGAGCTCCTGAAGCAGTGAATTCTGGCCAGTAATGCTGCAAGACCTGACAAAGTAAAACTTTTATTGCACTAAATAGAGCATTTACTGCCATTCTACATAATGACTGTGTAAAGTTTCCATGAGCAGTGTGTCCATGGTGTTGTCTTGATTATATAGGTGAGTCCTAATCCCTCCTGCTTTTCCCAACGGTCTCAGTGCACAACTTGTGTTTCTTTCTTCCACTCATTATTTCACACACACAGCTTTTCTTGCTGAGAGCAAAGGTAAAGTACAAATGCTCATTTAAACATACCAGGCTATAAAAGCTATACTAATAATCAATCATATTAAACAAATGTAATGTCTTCCTAACACTGTTAGAGTAAGATTTATGCACAAACGCTTCAAAACAAGAGCTCCGGGCTATTTCGAACACTTGCCTTCCAGGTAACGTACTACGAATGGGCACATTTTACATTTAACATTCACACTCGACAGTATGTTACACCAATAGTGTCAGTTACACTGCTGGCAAAGCTCCAAATATCCTGTTTGTAGTCACAATCAATGCCCCTAACCTTATCTGGTTTGTCTGTAATCAGAAATGATTACTATGGTGATTGTTCATTTAGTATACAATGCTGTAGAAGTTGGCCAACAAACACGAAAATCACGTTAGGATAATGTGAGACGTCCTCAACAAAAAAAAAAGTCTGTTGGGAACCAGTCATTCTCATGTACAGTATTAAAATGAAGCCTGCTGGCATTTTGAGAGTTTCAGTGGAGTACTATGATCCAGCAGAAACAACACAGTATCGATAGCTAAATAAACCTATAGGTCTAAAATATTAGCTACAAAATTCTAAATGCTATCATGTAATGAAATGTTACATCGTACTATCCAAATAATTAGGACAGCCCTATTAAAAGCATAAACTCTGTTCTACTGCATGCAGACAGACTAATCCCAGCAGGCATTCACACTCATCACTCACTGTGAACCAAGAGCAGAAACACCCATTTGCCTTACTATATCAACTTATCACTGAAGTCAGTCCTCTGTGACTGCATTCAGCCTTGACAGGCCATTACACTAAATGCACAGTGCTATTGAGAGGACTCTAAATAATGCATCAGGTTATTAGCCCCGATCTGTACTCATTCCAGTCTCAGACACGCAAAGCCTGGGAACAGGCTTTGAGCTTTAGGCTTCTACTGAATGTTTTGCTCTTGACATACAATCTAATCTGTCGTTGCTGTAATAATTCAGAAAAGGACTCTTCCTCAAGTGTTACATTGGCATAAAGAACAAGAATAACTGATCCTTACAGTGTTGAGTCCATCTCAATGATGAGTAACTGTGTGTGGATTTTTCACCTGATGGATGGCTAATAGAAGTCTCAACACCAAATCACAACATCTGACAAGAAGCATCCAATCTGTGTTTGTAACAAGACAATTTTACCAACTAGAAAATAACCATGTTTTGATTGGGCCGTTTCAGTAGAAGGGCACTGGGCATTGGCACTGACTGTACTAGTTTAATAGCAGAATTTTCAGTCAGCAGCTTTTAGAGCTGCTAACTGCAACCAGTTAGAACACAAAAAAACCTTTCACATGACAAATAGATTTGCTGCTCCTTGCAAACAGAAGTGGTGTGTTTTTGGCAGAAAAAAGATGAGAACACATTGACCTTAAAGCCAGACAGTGAGAAATAGACTCTGATGCAGATGGGAGTTTGAGTTGTTTTTATGTATGTTTTATATTCTGGGTCATCTGATTTACTTTTTCTACATGCTCTCCACTAAACCAAACCTTTCAACCAACTGCGAATATTTCAATCATGCACAACTGTTTATGAGGACATTTGTAGCCCAAGATAAAGGTTAATTTGGGGACTAAAAATATATCAACTCTTTAAAGTATCTCTTCAACCCAAAATTTACAATGCTGCTTTTATAGTGATGTTCAATTAATGGGATCTGATCTTTATTTGGTCGCTGGTTGTTTTCTGTTATATGAGACCTGCTCCTGCAGTGGCCCTTTTCAGCACTCCAGGAACTGAGATGTAATTTATTAGCACTGCACATCGCTGACTGGTCAAAGAGCTGTCCAGACTGCAATGATGTATACAGCCTGTGATCACACTGTAAACAAGCACTGGTTTAAAGTGGAAACAGTAGGACAGGACGGGAACGGCTTGTACTTTCTGAATGTTTAAACAATATGGCCAACTTTCTGACTGCTCAATAAAAGCCTGTTATAAAAGGAGAGCGTGGATTCTTAATAAATGGCTTAGATATTACATCCAAGGCAACAGGTGATGGGTATTACCACATCAAATCAACAAGAAATACAGACTAGTCATTGCTGTTGACACTGAGATACAAGGGAAGCAAAATGTGGACAGTCTGTCAGTCAATGGCAGTGAAAGCTCTCTACTCCATATACAAGATTTCTTTATTGAAAGTTGTTTATATGAGTGATTGTCCTTAGTTGACCCACTGCAAACCAAGTGAAATGTAGGTTCAACATTTTGATTTAGAACTTGTTTGTATTGGCTTAAACATCTCTCAAATTTAAAACATCTGTTCTGCCACAGCACACTTTTCTCTGGCTTCTGTAACCTTCTTACCATGTTGTTTACCGTCGCAATGGCAAGTATGTTTTCACAGTTTATGCGTCCATTACACTTGACTACAGCGACAGCTCAGATTAGTTCTCATCCACTGCGCTGTGAATGGCAGTTTTCCGTCTGCAGTCCGAGAAAGGAAGTGTGAGAGTAGTGTAGGAGGAGAGAGGGATAAACACGAAAAGCAGGCCGAGTGGACTCTCTGTCAAACTGAACTGCAGAAATCAGCGTTAGTTTATAGCCCCTGTTCGCGCCAGTGCCACCAGTGGCGCGCGCCCAAAATGACGTCACAACCGCTGGCGCGCGGTGTCGCTTCGCCAGGTTGCGCAGGTCTCTCAAAATGTTTGTAACTTGGCGCTCGCCAAACAGGAAATGGACGAGCGTCTCTCCAGACAATCACTGCGACCTTGTACAGACATGTATGGCTTGGTGTGCTGGTTAGGTACAAGGCTGAAACACATGTTGTTTACCACACAAGCATGCTACAAAACGTGATTCCTGTAGATTTATTCTCCTACTGCCATTCCAGTGGTGTAGATTGTGTGTTTCGCAGCAGCGACACCCATCGTCTAGGAGAAGACTGCAGCGAGTCGAGCGCCCTAAACGCGCGTTTAAACGGTTCCGATTCTGTGTTGACGTCACAGTTGGCGTGCGCCAATAGCAAAAGCGTCGAACTTTGAGGAGTAGGCATGGAGCAGAGGCCACCAACACAAACAGGCTGTTTTTTTAAAAAGCTGGCCAAAATACACAGTCATAATCCACTTCAATTTTATGTCAAATATAAAGCCATGCCTCATCTCTGACAGCCCTCCATCTTGGAAAGTATAAAGTAAAAAAGTGTTTTGCTGTTCATGCTGGAATCACATTTAGAGTATGATTTATTTCTGTTGGTGCTGGTTCACTCCCGTTTATAAATCAAGGCGCTGATTCTGGTATTATCCTTTTGTCTGAGTGTAACATTTATCATTGTCACAAAGAAAAATCAGTGGGCTGGTCAGCTCCATTATGTATGAGAGAGTGTGGTGTCTGTACATTTAATGTTAATGTAAGTCTCTTTCAGGCTGGAAACGTTTATGTTTAAAGGCGGTATATGTGCTGGATGTGAT